GCACCACAAGATGGGCCCATTTGCGGAAGTGATGGCAACGTGTACAAAAACACTTGTCAAATGAAGCTGATCACGTGCGGGTAAGTGTATGCAGGTATATTAATGTGTGTTTTGTTTAATATGGGGATGGATTCGTAGGCAAGGTGTGGTCCGCACCAACAAGAAGTACTGCCAGACGACGCGACATTGCCGCGAGTCCTGCTGGAGGAATGCGCGCCCCACCTGCGGCTCCGACGGCAAGATCTACGCGAACGTCTGCCGCATGAAGTCGAAGAACTGCGGCAAACACGTGTTCGAGGTGCCGATGGCGTACTGCGTCAGCCAGGAGCGGTCGCCAACAAGCGTCGCCTGCCCGACGGACTGCGCCGGCGAGCTGGAGAAGCCCGCTTGTGGCTCCGATGGCCTGGTCTATCGCAATGAGTGCGAGATGAAATTGTTGACTTGCGGGTAGGTCATCAATCAACGCGAGCGGTAAGCGCGCCCGTAATGTAATTGCAGATCAATCACAATTACAGCGCGCGCGGCCGCCGCTTTCGGGTTCATTATTTCGCAGTTATGCGCGCGGGTATGAATTAACGCTTAACTGTATTGCAGTTCGAACAAGAGAGTCGGCAAGGTCGACATGGAGAAGTGCCGCAACCGTCTTACAAAATGCCTCAAGATGAAGTGCACCAACGACATGGATCCGGTGTGCGGAACGGACGCCCGGACGTATACGAACCAGTGTGCGCTCAACATGGCGACGTGTCTGAAGGGCGTGCAACTGGCGCACCTCGGCAACTGCACCGTACTCAAGGAACAGGCATGCCCCACGCATTGCGACGACGATGAAGGCGTCGAGCCAATCTGCGGCTCCGACGGAAATGTTTACAAGTAAGAACAATACATCCCACTATATTATTTTGGTTTTTGAACTCAGCTCATCAACGGTGCATTCTTCTCTGATGTGTTCTCATAATTGATGCTGAATGGGGAATAACGATGCACGAAACGCAGGCAAAATATATACATTTAACCCACCCGCCAATGAATAATGAGGGGCACCTCTAACGTGGTGAAACATATTGTCTAACGACGTGCATTATGTCAGGTCGTGTTGAAGTCTGGCAATTTTCGGCATGGCTCCTAATTGCAGTCTGCGGTTTGCAGATTGCAAATTTTGTTTTATATCCATCAATTTTCGCAAATGACGGTCATAACTAAAACTCGCCAAACTTCATCCAATGTAATTATTTTTTCATTCTCCTGCACAGGTCGGAGTGCGAATTAAAGAAGGATACCTGTGGGCAGTTGGTGGTTCAGGTCCCGGCGCATCACTGTAGGACTACAGCAGCGTGCAACGAACAATGCGATGAAAGCGAACGACAATTCGTATGCGGCTCTGATAATAAGATCTACAGGAGCGAATGCGAGATGAAGCGCAGCAATTGCGGGTAAGGATCTATGTCGGTGCACTTTGAATGCATGTAATTGACGTGTTTTTCATGGGTGTGTACGCAGGAAACACATTTACGTTGTGCCAATGAAGCGCTGCCTCTCCGGATTTCTCTTCCGCGGCTGCCAAAAGATCTGTCCGACCTACTACGATCCGGTGTGCGGCACCGATAGCATGACCTACAGTAACACTTGCTTCCTCGAAATCGAAAACTGTCGGTCGCGGTCGTTGGTGCAGCTGAAGAACATGGGCACGTGCGCGGAGCCGCTTAACGAGGTCCCCAAGAACTACCTCTACTGAGCCTTCATCGTCGGTGCATCATTTTTCTAGCCTTGCCTTGCCAACTACCGCACACACACTCATCACCTATGTAGCGACAGAGATATTTTTCGATGCTACATTTAATGATTTCAAATATGGCACGTGTTGATCACTTCCATCAATTTATTTCCTATTCACTATTTTGCGGCCATTTATCAGTTTTACTTTTGTTTTTTTAATTATTTAATTTAGTGTTGTTTTCAATCTCCATTAAAAGTTCTTCTCTTTGTATTAAGAACAATATGAGTGGCTAATATGTGATTCCAGCGACTGATTACAAGTTTTTTTTTTCAGTTTTCCATTAATTTCATTAGATTTGAAATTATATTTACACATTTTAGTTTATGTTATTTATTGTATTTTAGTGTATTTTGTAATATTATTTATCATTTTGTAGTTGTATTTATTATTGTCTTGTGTATTGTGTAATTCTTGTTTACCTCAATTTGCTTTTTGCAATTATGAGTTGTTTACAAAGATATCTATTTATTTACGTCTTGATTGTGCCAATTTTTTGGTTTTATTACAGTTTACAACTATTTTTAAATTAACGAAACAAGTTTATGCGTTGTTTATTTTGTATAAAAATTAAAATTCTTTTTTCAATGAAATATTTGTATTGACATGCAACATCTACCAGTACCACACGAGCCTGGGTACTCTGCTCTTCAGAATATATGTTTCACAAAGGATGGCGATCAGATCTTTATAGAATCTACTAAATATTCTGAAAATGAGAAGATTGTCGAGAGGATTTGCAACAAAAAGTTTCACAACTGATTTACATGTTAAAAATAATTTTTAATTACAAGTGCGGGCAAAATCATATCAGTTCATTTTGTTACAATATAAATTAACATCATTTTAAAATTACTAAATTCCTAACAAAATTACTACCAAAAATGACTGGAGAGTATTCCCATAGGTCTTTCCACTTTTCCTGTCTTATAGTAATTCTGCAATAAAACTTCAAGTCTTGCCAACGGACCACCAGAGTCCTTTTCCTTCAACAGCGGAATTTGAAACTCGACAAGATAAATAATTAACTTCTTAAATTGTCTGCCATAGGTCTCCTGCATAGTCGATCCAGCAACTTCCAAGAAACTATTAATAGCTGTTGCCGTGACATCCACATACGGAACTCTATTCAAAGTCCTTGCAAACCACGTCCAACCATTCCCCAGATGATGTGGATTCTCAGGTGTACCACGCTTTGTGTTACTAATTAGAATAGAGAAATACAACTTACAAATACCAGTTATTCTTTTCAGAAACTTATCCTGTTTCTCTATAACTCCGTCATTATACTGATACCCCATAAGTGTATAAAACTGTTCATCACTCTGGCCCTCCTGTTTTTGAAAGTATATCGGTAGTAAATATGGACACTCCTTGTAGAAATGAGCTAAGAGCAATTTTCCAAAAATCGGAAAATCATTCCATAAAGTTACAATTATAGTAGCGTACGCAAAAGCAGCATCAGGGTTGCTTGATATTGTTAGATCCCCTTGCAAAACAAACTTTTTTGCTAGTAAATCCATCACGAACGCGATGCCCTGTGGATGCTGTGAGGCATTCATGCGACTATCACTAATCTGAACAGTTTTACCCGACAATAAATTGTACAATTTATTGTATTTATCTCGTAAGTGCTCACTGCTAACAGCAGATATTGCGTTTACCGGAAGGTTGACAGCTTTCTTGCAATCAAATTTAAACTGTTTTAATGACTGATCATCCAATAACTGTTTATAGCTTTGTTGATGCTGTTGTAGGAAAGTTTGAAGTCCAACATAGGTAGTTAAAATTTCTTTATCATCTGATTGAATTGTAGAAGTCATAGAAGATGCTGGTGTGTTTTCTGTAGGTTGAATAACTTGTGCAGATTGTTCTGTTGTTTGTGCTGCTTGTTGAGCTGCAAGTGCAGCTTGTTCTGCCGCAAGTTTCTCTTCTTCCTTTTTCTTTAATGCAGCAACTGTTTCAGCTGCCTCGCGTTCACGCTTCTCGTAATGTGCTTTAATTTTATTCTTAATTAACTCTTTCATTTGTTTAGATGTCTGTAGTATGTCATTAGCAAGTTTTATGTCTTGTTGGTGTACTTGTGTTGATCGTATTTTAGTGCTAATACTTTTGTAACTACTGCAAATGTGTTTAAAATCATTTTCAAATTTCAACAATTCACTCTTAGCTTCCTGATTTGTTTTCATTAAACTATCAATTTCTTTGATGGTGGTGACAATATCTTGCTCAATAGTAGCATAATCTGAATGTAACTTCTGTTGTTTTTGTTGTTCCTCAGCTTTAGCTTTAAGTAATTTAACATTTTCTTGTTGTCTCTGTTTGTTTCTAGCTGAAGCCTTCTCAATTTCAATTTTTGACTCATGCTCCACTTCATTCATTGCCTGCTTCATTAAATCTGCTTGATATTGAATTTCTTTAAACTTTAATGCCTGGTGTTGCTTCCATTGTTGAGCTTTCTTTGCTTCCTGCACTTTGTTGAACATATCCATGGTTTTCTTATGAACATCCATTGATTGATGCTCAATTTCTTTACGCTGTTTCTCCATTCCAGATAGAATATCATTTTGTATTGTATTATTTGAACTGAGGATGGGCACTTGTTTTTGGTTTTGAGTAGCTGTTACTTCTGCAGAATCAATTGTATCACAAGAAGATTTTGAAATAATTCTTGGTGATTGTGTTTTTGGGGGGCTTAATATTGAATTAGGTCCAATGGTAACACTATCAACAAACTGGGTAATTTTGATAGCTTTTGATATAGCTGAGATTTTTAATGCTGAAAAATCTGATATCATTTCATCTACGTCCATTTTCTGATGTTTCTCTTAATTTTCTGCAAATATTCAACCAAAGATCAGTAAGTATGAAGTAAGTTTTACTTCATAAATATTACTCACTATTTCTTCAAATATGTAAGTAGATGTTTTGCGAAACAAACAAAAACAAGTGGATTATAACCGCACTTTGACATATGTTAACTAAAGGTGATGTATATGGTAGTGCAAGTGCCCAGTCCCAGCCAGAAACGATGGGTTTGTGTTGTTCTGAAGTATTTGAATTTCTCTGGGAATAGCAATAGTATCACTATTGCAATAATTGCAAATTACTCAGCACTACTACATCAATTTATTAATAGGTATGTTAGACAATTTTATACAGTTCTACTGATTCCAATACATAAACATAATACTTATCTATAATCTGTAATTATCTATAGTACTAATCTTTATTTATCACTAATAATCGTCGATTTGGTTCATTCTTTAAACCCAATTCAATTCTATTAACAAACCATTTATCATCTACAGATTTTCTTTTAGCCCAGAAATGCATAGTTCCTCTCTCTTTGCTGCCAATTACAGGTACTTCATATTTGGCTGATAAATCATTGGTATAATTCTTCTCCACATTGCCTACATCTATTGTACCAGTTTTGATGGGTTCACCTAGTATATGAACAGCTCCCTTGTGTGTTCGTATTGTTGTCAAAGCCTCTTTGTAATACTCTGTCTCAGATATTCTGTCATTAAATTTTGATCTTGTTAAAAGTCCCATTGTTACAGTGGCCATTCCTCCCAAAGCTGCTATTTTCACTAATGTGTGATTGGTTACACCCATTCTGTTTAATTATTTTCTCAAACTTTATGGGAAAACTTTGAAATGGGCAAGGCTGTCAAGTGAAGATAATTTGTGGTTAAGTTTGCGTCGTCCTGGATGCAAGATCCGTGCATCATACTGTAAGTATTCAATTTCTTTATCGTTTTATTAATAATTGTTGTTAATTGTTGTCATCTAACAGAAAACGTGAACTCGTGAACACTATGTGTAGTATGCAAATGAAAATATTCAATCCAAAGGTTGCATTATTCTGTACTAAAACATGATCTCAAAGAACAGCACCTTTTATAATAATGATCTTAATCTATTTTTCACAAAAAATCAAGTAACTAAATAATTAGAAACTACAGTACAGCTTTTTTGTATTTTATCGACATTTTCAGTTTCAAGGCGCTGAGTTTTGTTTGTTTTAAGGGTGTAACAGTTGAATGCAACCAACATCTGAGGATTGCTGTACTTGCATTGGAATGTAAGCTTTGCATTTTTTTAAATTTTCATAAATGCTGTTTACTGTTTTGCGATTTTGAATTTAGTTTAGGGTTTTAATCCAGCAGCTGAACAAGTCTTCTCAGCTCTCAAAATTTAATTTTTTTGTATGGAAGCGCTATTTTTTATTGCTTTTAGAGACCTAGCAGTGTAACGGTAGCTTTGTATTCGGTAGATGTA